CAGCTAGGGCTACAGAGAGACCCTGTCTCAAAAAGACGAAAAAAAAAAAAATTGTTTTCTTACGTACATGGAAAAAAATAGTATGGGGTTGGGGAAGCAGTTCAGTGGTGTACACCTGGCTTGGGCTCCAACTACCTACTATCATAAAAACAAGGACAAAGCTAAGTTGAGGACAATATAGGAGGATTTAAGAAAAATAATCATAAGGCTGGGAGTCATTATGGGGTTAGAGTCTTGCTTTCTGCTCAAAGTTTTTCAGACTGGTGTAGACACAAATCCCAACAGGTCTAGTTAAGTTCACAGGAGGTTGGGGGAAGTTGACTGGGCATTTCCATTAAGTGTCAACTGGATACTGGTACTATCTGCTGGAAATGAACTTGGAATAGCAAGGCTCATGCCACCTGTTACAGTAGACACCCTGTTACCCACACCCAATGGACTGTTAGAAGATTAACAGTAAGTTTATCAAGGGCAGGGACAGGCTAATGTTTATGAGCCCCCTCCCTACCCACCATCAGAGTTCTACTCATAATGAAGCAGTCAATTTCTCCTGATTCCAGGTGGTTCTCCAGGCTTCTAGCAAAGTGGTAACACTTTAAGGAAAATTTTGCTCAAAGAATTTGCTGCATGCTTCAAAGCTAGATCAGGGAAAAGCACATTCCATAAATCAGCTCTCACAAAGTCTTTCCAGCAGCCACCTCAACTAGACAGCATCACCATCTTAAGAGGAGGAAGCAGCCTCAGTGTGATGCAAAATCTGGCTCAGTCACATCTCATACATAGGGACCCCCTGGATGTTTTATAACCCTAAAGTACTTGGGACTGATTGTATCATGCAGAATGCATACCACTAAGACAAAATTCCACTAACTCACATTAAACTGAGTTCCCAGCTAGGCACAGTGGTATGTGCCTGTAATCCCAGCTACTCTGGAGACCAAAGGAAAAGTATCACTTGAACCTAGGAGTTCAGGATCAGCTTAGGCAATATAGCAAAACGCTAGTTCCCAAAGTAAGTAAATAAATAAATAAATTCCCACACTCTAGGTAATCAAGTGAGGCCAGCTGTCCTTGCAGAGAGGCTTCATCCTCAGACAAGGTTCCCAGCAGACCACTTACAAAGACCTCACTGACTCCCAGAGGAAGCACTTACCTGTATAGTAGACATTTTCATCCCAACCCCTCTTCCTCCAGGCTGCATTTCGAGTCTCCTCCCGAGACTGTAGATCTTTATAGGCTATAAGATAGGCACAGACTTATTCCTCAGCATAGTGCCCCTTCCACTGCCCCAAACCCTTCCCTACTATCTCTTCCTCCCCAGATGCCTCCTCCATGGGCTATCAGCAAACACTGTCAATATCGTTCAATCATATGTATTAAAAAGATTAATTTCAGGGGCTGAAGATATGGCTCAGTGGTTAAGAACACTGACTATTCTTGCAGAAGACCCAGGTTTAATCCCAGCACCCACATGGCAGCTAACAACTGTCCATAACTCCAGTTCCAGAGGACCCGACAGCCTCTTCTGTCCGCAGGCATTGCACAACACGGGTGCACTTACCTACATGCAGGTAATACACAAAAATAAAATAATAAATATTTTTTAAAAATAGATTAATTTCAGCCAGGCATGGTGGCCTATACCTTTAATCCCAGCACTTGGAAGGCAGAAGCAAGTGGATCTCTGTGAGACTGAGGCCAGCCTGGTCTTAATTTCAGGGACTGGAGAGATGGCTCAGCAGTTAAGAGCACTGGCTGCTCTTGCAGAGGACCTGGATTTGGTTTCCAGCACCCCACATGGCAGTTAACACCATGGCAATTAACTCCAGTTCTAGGGCTTCTGATGCCCTCTTCTGGCTTCCACAGGCACTGCATGCACAGGGACACATATATATGCAGGTAAAAACACTGATACACATAAAAAAATAATTTTTTTAAAAGATCAATTTCAAGCCCGGCATGGTGGTGCACACCTTTAATCCCAGCACTTGAGAGGCCTGTCTCAAAAAGACCAAAAAAAAGGATCAATTTCAGACGATTACAAATAATATTTATAGAAAAAAGGGCAAAGAGAAATGACAGAAGAAAATGGGTAACAGAAGACAACCACTCTCTAAGGAATTAAAATGTAACGCTCAGAGCTAGAGAATAAAAACCAGCCAGGTGTAGATTGCTAGAGAAAAGCATTCCAAGTAGAAGGAACATGTGCAAAGGCCCTGTGGCAAGGGAAAAGCCCTTTGGGGGTTTTGAAGCATGTATATATTTTAACTCCTAACTTTCTGTTTCCACCCTCAAACTAACCTGTGTATTATAGGCATCTATATCCAGTGCCCACATGACAACTCTACCTGGGTGCATCTGTAATCATATATATATATATATATATATCTCCACACACTTTTTTTTGTCTTTTTGAGACAGGGTCTCCCTGTAACCTAAGCTGGCCTGGAATTCACTATGTAGACCAGGCTGGTCTCAATCCCACAAAGATCCACTTGCATCTACCTCCCAACTACTGGGATTAAAGACATTGCGCCACCAAGTCTGGTGATTTTATGATTTTTAAAATTACATTTATGCCAGGCGTGGTGGCATGCCTTTAATCCCAGCACTCAGGAGGCAAAGGCAGGCAGATATCTGTGAGTTCAAGGCCAGCCTGGTCTACATAGTGAGCTCCAGGCCAGCTGGGGCTACAGGGAGACCCTGCCAGAGCAAGTTCCAGACCAGCTGGGACTACAGGGAGACCCTGTCTTAAAAATTCAAATAAAAATAAAAATAGAAGAGTTGGAAAGATTGCTCAGTGGACAACATTCAGGAGATCAAACTCAAGTTGTCAGGCTTGGCTAGCAGCAAGCACCTTTACCCACTGAGCCATTTGGCTTGCCCAGTGCCTACATCTTAAATAAAATTGCGCTCCAATCCCACAACCTAGCTACTCTCCTAGACCTCTCTGTCTTGGAAAATGACACATAGCTACTTGGGGGCGGGGAGTCTGGGAGCTCCCTTCCTGCTTTCCTCCCCTGCCAAAGTCCCATTAGATTAGTGAATCTGTCTCAGCATCTTGCTGCCATATCTGAAGCCAAACCCCATTCTCCCCTGCCTAAACTAACACGAGCATCTTCTCCTAACCACTTTCCTCTCTTGCTCTCCTATCAGGCCCTTTGGGCAAAGCAAAGGATGCTGCTGCAGCCTCTCACCACATCCATGATAAACCCTCATTCCCACAGCCTGCAAGGTCAGCCTGACCTGGTACTTGTCCTCTAACCATCTGCTCATTCTTCCCCATTCCCTCCCACCAGCCTCCTTTCCACTCATCTAAGGCCTTTCCACATACTGTCCTTTCTACTTGCAATGCCTTCCCCAGCAATTCACAGCTGTTCTTTTCTCATCTTTTAGCTTGGGGCATGTATTTTACCCCTCAGATAGGCCTTGTTTACCCAAGCCAGGGTGAGTTCCTAGAGCTTTTCTCTGCCATCTTTCCCTCCCTGTTTTCCTCAAATATTACCTGTAATCATCTGAGGTAAGTCATTTTTGCTAGTTTATGTTTGAGGTTGCATCTCTCTCTGGTACAGCATTAGAGCCATGGGGGCACTAATGTACATACATGGTTTACAGAGTGACCAGGGGACAAATACAAGGCTCCTTGGAAGTCTCATGCCGGGCGTGGTGGCACACGCCTTTAGTCCCAGCAGAGGCAGGCAGATCTCTGTGAGTTCAAGGCCAGCCTGGTCTACATAGTGAGTTCCGGGCCAGCGGGGGCTAAAGGGAGACCCTGTCCCAAAAAAAAAAAAAAAAAAAAAAAAAAAGAAGAAGAAGAAAGTTTCCAACCTACCCCAGAGGTGGTGCACCACATAGAGCTCTCCTATTTGTGAAAAGAAGCCTCCTACTGCCTCCTGGTTCTCCTGCCGGTACTTGATGGCCCGAGCCCTGAAGATGGCAGAAAGCATGGGGCAGAGGCCAGGCACAGGGTCCCCATGAGGTGGCCCAGGCTGAGTCCTTGGCCTTGGCCACACCTCATGGGAAAAGCCTGGGATGAGGCCCAGGGAATGGATTCTGGAGGTGCAGCTACTGGCTGGTTGGTAGCACCATCCTCTACAAGATCTGCACTTCCCAGGTGGATCCTTCTCTGGGATCTGAGGAGCAGAGGATGCTAGATTCCCTTCAACACAGCCCTAAAGAAGTAGCCCACCAGGGACAGGACATCAGGGATCCCCACTCTCAGCCCCGGTGCTGCCACTCACCAGTTGTTCCCCCACTCGATCATGGTTCCAGGCTGTAAGAGACCCAGAAGAAGGAAAAAGTAAACCCCATCTTAGACTCCCAGCATCAGAGGGGCAGGGATGGGAAACTAGCCTGCCTTACCCAGAGCCAGGGGCTTCATTTACGGGCCCTGACTCATACTTGGTATATGTGAGCACATACACTTCGGCTCTGAGCCCACAGGGAGGGGCTCAGGCCCACCCAGCTTGGGCAACTGCAAAGGAGCACTACATCAGGTAAGATGGGAGACAAGAGGTGCTCTGTTGAGAGGGAGGCACCTTAAGCTTGTATGTCCTCAGCTCATAGATGTTGGGGCCAGTTCTGGGCTGTGGTTCATTCCAGAAGCTGAACTCCAGAAGCAACTGGTTTCTCCTGGACAGCAACATCTTGCTCCGCTCCTTCCGGAACTCCAGGTACTCCTAAAGGCAGGGCATTATGGGCACAGCAAGCAGGCAGGGAATATATGCTGCCTTATCAGTGTGCCCTGGGGGGGG